GATGGGGGGTGGGGGGGGAAGGAAGTGAGAAGAAGAGAAGAGGAGAAAGAGAGGGGGAGAAAAAAAGGGGGGGGGCGTGGTGATGAAGATGGAAGAAGGAGGAGAGGGCGAGAGGAGTGGGTAAAGGGAGAGAGGGAGGGAGGGAGAAGGAGGGTGAAGGAGTCTGGTAAGACGGGGGAGGGGGGGGGGGTGAGGATTAATTGTCAGCACAGGATGTGAAGGAACGAGTGTGAACATTTATTAGCTATTCTCTCATAAATGTATGTATATACGTACCTTAGACACACACGCACACACACACACAAACAAATCATCAAAAAAAATGTGAGCGAGAGAGAGAGAAAGAGAGAAAGAGAGAGAGAGATAGATAGAGATAGAGAGAGAGAGAGAGAGAGAGGAGGGAAAAGAGGGAACGCAGAAAAGAGAGAGGAGAAAAAGAGAGAGAAAGAGAGAGGAGAGAAGGAAAACATAGATAGCTAGATAGATAGGTAGATAATAGACAGATAGATAAATAGATAGATAGACAGAGACAGAGAGAGAAGAGGGGTGCACAAAGAGACAGACAATAATATCTTATTGATCGAATACTTAGAAATTAAAAAGAAAAAAAAACAAAAAACAAAAAAATAATGAAAGTACTTCTACGATGACTACCAGGAACAGGATATATTTTTTTGAATCCTCCCTCTTTCCTGGATTTGTTTTCATTTGCATTTCATTTTTAACTTTATCATAAACCTTTATTCCCTTCCTTTCAATCTTATCTCCGATCTCCTTCTCTTACTCGTTTTACTCCTCCCCTCTCCTCTCCTCCCTCTCCCTCCTCTCCTCTCCTCCTCCTCTCCTCCTCCCTCTCTCACTCCTCCTCCTCCTCTTTTTCCTGCTCTCCCTCTCTTCCTCTCTCCCTCCTCTCTCTCTCTCCTTCCTCTCTCTCCTCTCTCTCTCTCTCTCTCTCCTCCTCCTCTCTTCTCCCCCTCTCTTTTCTTTCTTTTTTTCTCTCTCTCCCTCTCTCTCTCTCTCTCTCTCTCCTCCTCTCTCTCTCTCTCTCTCTCTCTCTCTCTCTCTCTCTCTCTCTCTCTCTCTCTCTCTCTCTCTCTCTCTCCCTCTCTCTCTCTCTCTCTCTCTCTCTCTCTCTCTCTCTCTCTCTCTCTCTCCTCTCTCTCTCTCCTCTCTCTCTCTCTCTCTCTCTCTCTCTCTCTCTCTCTCTCTCTCTCTCTCTCTCTCTCTCTCTCTCCTCTCTCTCCCCTCTCTCTCTCAAAAAAAAAAAAAAATCGAAAAAAAACTTTTTCTCTTTCTTTCTCAAAAAAAAAAGAACTTTCTTTACGTCATTCCCCTCCTCCTTAAAAGATAAGAGCGACCGCTTGGTGCTTCTTGGAAGACTCTGCGTCGTGTGCTGCATCTTCGATTAATGGAATCAAAATGTTGAAGTTGAATTCTCGAAGCAGTACAGAAAAAGGTCAGATAGATATTTTTAAAACCCTCTTTTTCTTTTCTTTTTTTTTTGCTTTTTATTTCTGGTCTTTCTCTTTTTATCTCTGTTATTTGAATGTAAACCCTCTTTTTCTTTTCCTTTTTTCTTTTTATTTCTGGTCTTTCTTTTTGTTTCTCTGTGTTATTTGAATGTTGTTTTATTCGTGTATTGACGCTGCTGGAATCATTGATATAATTATGATTGTAATAATATTGATATCATTCAGACAGTTCTTTGCCCTTATCAGTAGCAATAACATTATTCATGACAAGAGAAAAATACTGCTTTGAAAACATTATAAAAAACAGGAATATTTTTTTCTTATTGAAAGCAGACTAACCCCCCCCCCAAGTATATTTTTTCTCGTGCCTGGAAAACAATTAAAAGAAGAATTACCGAGTTTCCCCTTTATTTGCATAGGGTTTTATCTCCATTAACCCTCCCCCCCCCCCCCATTTTATTCCCTCATCCCTACTTTTACTCTTATTTCTTCTCTCTTTCTCCTCTTTCTTCTCTGACTTTTTCGTTTTTTTTTTCCTCTTTAACTTCTCTCTCCTTCTCTCTCTTTACTCCTTTCTCCTCCCTTTATCTCTTTCTCTTTCTCTCTGTCTCTCTTTCTCTCACGTACTCATTTTCATCTTATCCTTAACCATATTCTTATTCCTATTCTTATTCTCATCCTTATTCTTATTCTTATTCTCCTCTTCCTCTTCTTCCTCCTCCTCCTCCTCCTCTTCCACCACAACCTCCCACTCCTCCCCTTCTCTCTCTCCCTCCCCTCCTCCTCCTCTCCTCTCCTCCTCCCCTCCTCCTCCTCCCTCTCCCTCCCCTCCTCCTCCTCCCCTCCCTCCTCCTCTTCTTCTCTCCTCCCCTTCCTCTCCCTCCTCCCTCCTCCTCCTCCCTCCTCCTCCTCCTTCTCCCCTCCTCCTCCTCCTTCTCCTCCTCTCTCTCCTCCTTCTCTCCTCCCCCCTTCTCCCCTCCTCCTCCTCCTCTCCCCCTCCTCCTCTCCCTCCTTCCTCCTCCTCCTCTCCCTTCCCTCTCCCTCTCCTCTCCTTCTCCTCCTCCTCCTCCTCCTTTCTCTCCCCTCCTCCTCCTGTTTTCTCTCTCTCTCTCTCTCTCTACGCAGTTCATTGAAATTCTTAATCTCCAAGTGAAAGGCTTCAATTCGGTGCCTCAGTTTCTTGATTCGCTCGAGAATTTCTGATAAGATTCGATAGAGGCAAAGATGGCGATATAGCGTGTGTGTGAAGGGACTGTTACTTTGATTATTATTTATGGGTGTTGTGATTTTGCCTTATCGTTTCTATCATCATTGTCTGTTTCGTATTTTTGGTTTTTGGTTTCGTTGTTAGTGTTGTTGTGTTTTGTTATTATTGTTGTTGTTATCGTCATTATTATTATTATTGTTATTATTATTATTATTATTATTATTATTATTTATTATATTATTATTATTATTATCATTATTATATATTTTTTATTATTATTACCATTATTATCATTATTATCGTTATCATTATCATTTTCATTATCATTATTAACATTTTAATTATCTTCATCATTATAACCATTAACATTATTGTTATCTTTGAATCATCATCATCATCATTATCTTTTTGCTATTATTACTATCATCATTATTATCATCAATACCAATCTTAGTATCAACATTATAATTATTATTACTTATTACTTATTATTATCCTTACTATAATTTTTTACTCAATCGTTATCCTCACTACCATAACGCCCACATTTCTCCTCATTATCACCACCATTATCATATTTCTTGACATCACCATCTCCTTCCACATTCATTTCCCTCCTCCCCCCCCTCTCTCTCCCACCCCCCCCCCCCCAAGAAATGCTGTGGTACACCTTTTGAAAAAAAAAAAAAAAATAGCGCCTTTTTTTGTTTCTTTTTAACGCTGTAAGTACGAATGTTTCTTTATGTTTCGACTTCAAAGTGTTGCTTGTGTGTCTACCTTTTCAGGAGAGAACATAAAAGTTAAAAAGTGTGTTTGCGTGTACTGTACAAAGATGGATTCATAGACATGTGGTTATACAAAAAACACACACACATAGCAATGTATATGTGTGTGTGTGTGTCTATACATGTATATATATATATATATATATATATATATATATATATATATATTATATATATATATATATATATAATATATATATATATATATATATATATATATATATATTATATATATATATATATATATATATATATATATATATATATATATATATATATATATATATATATATATATATATATATATATATATATATATATATATATATATATATATATATATATATATATATATATATATATTCATAAGATAACGTAGGAGAAAAAAATATAAAGAAACCAATATTTGTTTTACTCAAACAAACAAACAAACACACAAAATCCTTACCTTATCCACGCTGATCTCAGGAGCACCAATCCGCCCCAATCAAGCATCCATCCCTCACGCAAGTATTAAATAACAACAACAACAACAACAACACACGCAACATACTCTCAACACAAACTCGGCAACAGAAGCTCTAAGCAACCCCAACAACTCTAGCCAAAACAACCCCTCAGAACACTACACATCTACAAAAAAGATAACAAAGACAACAAACAAACATAGTCCTTATCATCCTCTATTAAAACAACCCCTCAGAAACACTACAGATCTACAAAAAAGATAACAAAGACAACACACAAACATACTCCTTACCATCCTCTATCAAAACAACCCCTCAGAACTACAGATCTACAAAAAATAATAACAAAGACAACAAACAAACAACTCCTTATCATCCTCCACTACAGATCTACAATAGAATAATAATAATAATAACAAGGACAACAACACAAACATACTCCTTACCATCCTCCATCAAAGCAACCCCTCAGAACACTACACATCTACAAAAAAACAAAAAAACAAAGACAACAACACAAACATACTCCTTATCATCCTCCATCAAAATAACCCCTCAGAACACTACACATCTACAAAAAAAAACAAAGACAAAAGCACAAACATACACCTTACCATCCTATATCAAAACAACCCCTCAGACACTACAGATCTACAAAAAAAAGATAACAAAGACAACATACAAACATAGTTCTTACCATCCTCCACTAAAGATCTACAATAAAAAAAAATAATAATAATAACAAAGACAACAACACAAACATACTCCTTACCATCCTCCATCAAAACAACCCCTCAGAGCACTACACATCTACAAAAAAAAAGATAAAGACAACAACACAAACATACTCCTTACCATCCTCCATCAAAACAACCCCTCAGAGCACTACATAAACAAAAAACAAAGACAACAACACAAACATACTCCTTTAAAACAACCCCTCGGAGCACTACAGCATCGCTACGCCAAGACAACAAAAGATAAGGAATAACGACAGCGAGAACCTCCTTACCTTGATGGGTTCCAAGATAACAAAGATAAGGAATAAAGACAGCAAGAACCTCCTTACCTTGATGGGTTCCAGGCCGAGTGTGGCTGTGACGGACCGGCGGTGCTTGACGCTGCGTGACGGACGCACCTTGCCGTCACGTCCAGCACCGCACATCATCTTGGTGATGCCCCTTCGACGTGCTTGTGGGCCGCGCTTTGACGGGCCAGGGTGAGGGGAGGGGGGGCAGGGGTGAGGGAGAGGTGGGAAGGGGGTGAGGGGAGAGAGGTAAAGAACGTGGGAAGGGGGTGAGGGGAGAGGTGGGAAGGGGGTGAGGGGAGAGGAGGTGAAAGGGCGGAAGGGGGTGAGGGAGAGGAGGAAAGAACGAGGGGAGAGGTGGGAAGGGGGTGGAGGGAGAGGGAGGAGAAGGGTGAGGGGAGAGGTGGAGAGGAGGAGGAGAGGGTGAGGGGAGAGGTGCGGGAGGGTGAGGGAGAGGGAAGAGTAAGGAGGAACGTGGGGAGACGTGAAAGAGGGTGAGGGAGAGGTGAAAAGAGGGAGAGAGGTGGAGAAGGTGAGGGGAGACGTGAGGGGAGAGGAGGAAACGTGAGGAGGTGTGAGGGGAGAGGTGAAAAGAGGGTGAGGGGAGAGATGGAGAAGGGGTGAGGGGAAACAAGGAATGGGATTGAGGGAAGATGTGGAAGAGGGTAAAAGGAGGAGTGGAAGTGGCTGAAGCAAGACAAGGAAAAAGGTGAGGGGAGAGGTGGGAAAGGGATGAGGGGAGAAAGGAAAAAAAGAGGTAAAAGTGGTAAAAGAGAGGAGAAAAAGAGTGAGTACAAATACGGAAAAGAATGCGAAGAGACGGAGGAAAGGATGACAAGAGACGCAGAAAGAACAAAGAGAAGAAAGAGACAACTGATAAAGATTAGACAAAGAGTAACTAAAGCGAAAAGAGAGAGAGATCGAAATGAGGGAGAAGGAAGGAAAGGCTACAAAAGAAGGGAGTTGAGGGGGCTTAGGGAAGACCAAGGGAGGATATCATGAAGGCCAAAGGGAGGAGGAGGCACAGGCGGCGCTGAAGATCTGTGGAAGAAAGAGAGAGAGAGATGGATAAAGAACTGACAAAGAATTGAAAAGGAATTGAAAAAGATTTGAACATGTATCTATGTTCTTCACCTTTGGAAGTGTAGGATTTTGAAGTCTGTACGTTTTTGTGTGTAAGTATTTATGTATGTGTATTTGCGTATGTGTGTAAATACATGTGGGTGTATGTCTGTGTGTGTGTGTGTGTGTGTGTGTGTGGGTGTGTGTGTGTGTGTGTGTGTGTGTGTGTGTGTGTGTGTGTGTGTGTGTGTGTGTGTGTGTGTGTGTGTGAGTGCACATGTGCATATGTGTGTATACAAATGTGTTTACGTGAGCGCGCGAGTGTGTGTGCGCGCATGTGTGAATTTCTTCGCAAGTGTGCATGTATGTACATGCGTGAATGTATGTGTAAGTGCGTGTGTTCATACGTAAATGTGTGTGTAAGTGTGTGTGCGTGTTTGGTGTGTGTGTGTGTGCCTCTATGTGTTGTGGGTCAGGTAAGCTTAGCAGGTGAGAAATCGTGCTCAATAAAACTTGAATTTTATGGCAAAACCAATATTTGGAAAATATAAACTACCCATTCACACCACAGATAAAGAGAATGACAGATTTAGCGCCGAAAAGTTAACACAGAAAATTGGATATCTATCACGCTATCTATTTATCTGTTTATCTGTCTGTCTCTGTATCTATGCACCTTACAATGTATCAATATTTTTATGTCTCTCTCTATATATATCTGTCAGACAATAGCTATGGCGACAATATGTCATGTATCATATGCATATCTATATGTATCTATATGTATTTGTATATTCATGAACACATGCATGAATCTACGCACACACACACACACACACACACACACACACACACACACACACACACACACACACACACACACACACACACACACACACACACACACACACACACACACACACATATATTTGTATACACACAACACACACACACACACACACACACACAACACACACACACACACACCACACATATATATATATATATATATATATATATATATATATATATATATAGTATATATATATATATATATATATATATATATATATTATATTATATATATATACACATCTATATATACAAATATACATATACATACATAAATGCATCCATATTTACAAATATACATATATACATGTACATTCCCCATCCCGTACCCTTTAAGCTCGCCTCAACGCCCTCTCCATATTCCTCTCTCCGCCAGATACATCTTCCTCCCGAAGAGGTTTCTGCGGACGAGGACACACGCATCTCTCTCTCCCGGTGATTTATGCGAAAATACAGAGAAAAAGTCATCATCTCTCTCGCTAAAAATTCCATAGCATTCCACCTAATACATCAAGCTCCTGGAGAGGTGAAATTCGTGGGAAAAAAAAATTATTAGTTTCGTGATATATTTTTTTTTACCTTTTATTTGTTTGTTTATTTAGTTTTGATTGTCTGTTTGTTAGGATTTTTTTTTGTTATCTATTCATTCATTTATTTATGTATCGTGTATTTTTTTTTTATTTGTTTATTTGTTTATTTATTTTGATTGTCTGTTTATCAGGATTTTTTTTTAGTTATCTATTCATTCATTTAATTACGTAACATATATTTGTTTTTTATCTGTTTATTTGTTTATTTTTGATTGTCTGTTTGTTAGGATTTTTTAGTTATCTATTCATTCATTTATTTATGTATCATGTATTTGTTTTTTATTGATTAGTTAACTGATAAATTGATTGATTTACTCATCTGCTTATCTGTTGATTTTATTTATTCATATATTAATTAGTATTTTTACTATTTGTTTTATCTGAAAAAGGAAAATAAATAGCTTTATCACTGAGATTCTTTGCTTCCCTTTTACTTTGTATATTTTATTTTCACTCATTTTATTTACCATCGTTATTATTATCATTATTATATTGATTTCTATATTTATTTAATTTTCATTGTCATTATTATCATTATATATTGATTTCTTTATTTATTTCATTTTACCAGTTTTTATTATTTATGATATTTCTATTAATTTATTTCATTTTACCATTGTTATTATTATCATTATCATATTGATTTCTATTAATCTATTTCATTTTATCATTGTTATTATTATTATTATTATTTATCAATCATTATTCTTTTGAAACATTTGCAAAGGTCAAGATTTTCGCCAGCGGAAAGGGGTAATCCCACAGTTATCTTCGTGGCAACATCTTTCTTGCAACCCCCCCCCCCCACCCCACCCCCCTCCCATCCCCCATCAGCTGGCATTCCTCGTACATCAACACTAGTTTTTTTTTTTTTTTTTTTTTTTTGTTATTCTTTCTGTTGCTTTTCTTTTTGACGATGCTCTTGTTTCATATATTTTTTATATTTTTCTCGTTATTTTCACTTGCCCCGTTTGTGGATTTGTTTGTTAATGAAGGTAATGTATGTATGTGTATTTTGATGTGCACGTAATTACAACACAACACACACACACACACACATGGCACACACACAAATGTGCACCCAAACACACCCCACAATGCAGCACACTACACAACACATGCGCACACACACACAAACACG